TGATAGAGATCATAATTATGTCGTTAACAGATTTAGGTGTATGCACGAAGTACCGTCCAGTTATTTCCTCGATAAAAGTTTATACGATAGACGTCCAGGAATCTTCGTATGAGAACTTGAAAGAAAAAAACAACAACAAAATGTCTATAAATGTATTCTTAAGAATATAAACAAACTGAACCTGCCATTAGTCATAACTATTTTCCACTGACACATTGAAATATTCTAATTATTAATTGCCGTAACATTACACCGTCCCGAGCACAACAAAATACAAAACGGTTGCAGTTGCATTATTCCGTTTATTGGTTCTCACATTAAATTATTGCATTTCTTTTATTGCTATTTATTTATTGGCGCTTTGCAAATCATTGTTATGACTGAGTCGCCTTACACGCGAGTGCATGAACAGGAAAAACCAACAATAAAATGGATAAGTAAGCATTGAGATCATATTTCCACAAGGTGCACGGGAAAAATGGTCCAGATATTTGCAATACATTTTTTTACACATTATGCATGATTTTCTTCGATAAGTTTATCGATAAAATCGTTGAATCTTTTTTTTTGTATATTTTTATGCGTCTGGTTTCTAACATTGCATAGTTAACCACCTCAGATAAATATAATAAAAACAGACAATAGGTACTTATATATACAAACAATTTAATTCAAGATATACAAACCAGATGTAAACAGAGACATGATAGATTGTATGGCATGCATTTTTTAAAAATGTTCATGCAAAAATCTTTTAGTATGATTATTATACTCGCACATATAATAATTATAGTATTTCATTAAATTATAAAGATTTTTTCACCATATTTTTTTATTTAAAAATTTATAGATTTTTGTCTATTGATATAATAATCTTGTATGATCTAAAAAAACGCCTGGGAAATGACAATCGATAATAATTTTCGCAAGGTGAATCTCTAGACGTCATTTACTAAAAATTGACAACAATTAACATTAATTATAGAAAGATTTAAAAAAGATAGAGCGTTTCCAGACAAACCAAATCTATTTCCAAAAAAATCGTTTTTACGATAAAAATAAATTACATCCTTCTTAAGGCCAACTGGCAGTATTAAAAGGAAAGAAGAATACGGGTCAATTAAATGACGTCTAGGGTTTGACCTCGCCAAAATTATTATCGCTTGTCATTCCCTAGTTGATGCTGATTTTTTTTCGATCTTATGGTCCTTATAAATAGTATACATATAAACAGTATAATACAAACTATAATAGTCCAATCATGACAAAATAAAGGCAAAAAATCAAATTATGCACAGTTCAGAGATCTATAGCAGGCAAGTATCAATTGCTTATATATTTCTTGAACAGTCAGCAACCTTATTAAACTGTTTAATTCGTTAATGCAAGGTGTGCAACGACGAGAAACTTTGAAGTAGAGGAATGATTATTCGGCATTAAATTAAAACGCATTTTACATAGTGCATATGCATAAGCTTGATTACCAATTCATTTCACGGTGAAATACTTACTTTCTAAATATCTGTGTTATGCTAAAATTTAAGAATTTCTTAATAGAGGGTTGTCTTTTATATTCTGCATATAGAGGTAGAAAAAGCAGTAGATAACTTTTAAACACTATTGTTTCTCGAAGTATTCTCCACGAAGAAAATGCATTTTTGCATCCGTTGGAACTAATTCTGAAAGCATTTATTCCACTCGTTTGTACCTTCAAAATTGAATTTTTGGAGAAATTACAGAAACAAATAAACAATACATTTTACTGTACCGGGTGTCCTACTAAGAATAGCTCTCGGCTGTACCTCGGAAAGTATTGACCGTAGAACCTGAGGAAAGAAATATTTATAACTAAAGAAGCCATGAGAAATTGCTAGAAATTATTTTCAAGTTTGTAAAACGGCCGCTAGAGGGCGCAACTGCTATGGAAAATAAGAAAATAGAATTTTTACAGAATTTTGCCTAGATAATGGGTACTATAAATAATAGCTTCATTTTTTTGGTTGGAACCATTTTCCCCTATCTGCTAAAATAAAGTGGTGGGGGAACGTTAGATCTCTCTTTATTTAAGTGTTAATAACTCCTGACTGGATGATCAGAAACCAACAAACGAGGTTTCGTTTAAAAGAACGCTTCTTACTCTATATTATACCATAATAATAATAATAACAAGGTTTTGAACGTAAACGCTAGGGGGCGCTTTCTTACAATTTAACAAACATAGCGTGTTTTTTCAAAAAAATTAAATACGATAGTATATGTAATTTAAGCTGATAGTAAAAAGTAGAAAAAGCTTAAAAAGTCAGCGAAAACCGCATCTTGATATCTTTTTTCAAACCGAAGATATTAGCAAAATTATAATAAATACCAAAAAATAAGCCCTTAATTACCTTATTTTTACAACACGGTATCAGTAGCCCTCTTGATTATGCCCATTCTAACAAAAAAATAAGATAGAAACAGTTAGTTTATTTTAAAATCGACGAAATACCAGAATACCATAATACCAGTTGTATTAATATCTAATAATTTAGATATTAATAACAGTGAACAAGAAACGATGATTCAGTGAAGTCATGGTAGGCTTTGGAAAAAAGTTGCTTTTGACGTAATAGTATAAACGTCAAATTGATATTAGATCAACATTTTGATAGTCTTAGTAGCGTTTTTTATCTTTTGATTGCTTTTTCAAAATGCCCCAACAACTTAACAATACTTCAAATAATAAAGGCATTTTAAAAAAGCAATTAAAAGATAAAAAACGCTGCAAGACCATCAAAATGTTGATCTAATAACAATTTGACGTTTATACTATTATGTCAAAAGCGACTCTTTTCCAAAGCCTACCATGACTTCACTGAATCATCGTTTCTTGTTCACTGTTATTAATATCTTAATTATTAGATATTAAAACATCTGGTATTATTGTATTCTGGTATCTCGTCAATTTTAAAATAAACTAAATGTTTCTATCTTATTTTTTTGTTAGAATGGGCATAATCAAAAGGGCTACTAATGCCGTGTTGTAAAATAAGGTAATTAAGGGCTTATTTTTTGGTATTTATTATAATTTTGCCAATATCTTCGGTTTGAAAGAAGATATCAATGCGGTTTTACTAACTTTTTAAACTACTTTACTATCAGCTAAAATTACATATACAATCGTATTTAATTTTTTTGAAAAAACGAGCTATGTTTGTTAAATTGTAAGAAAGCGCCCCCTAGCGTCTACGTTCGAAACCTTATTATTATTATTTTTATGGTATAATATAGAGTAAGAAACGCTCTTTTAAACGAGTCCTCGTTTGTTGGATTCTGATCATCCAGTCCGGAGTTATCAACATTTAAATAAAGACAGATCTTACCTTCCCCCACCACTTTGTCTTAGCAGATAGGGGAAAATGGTTCCCATAAAAAAATCCAAAATTTTCTGAAGATTATGAAGCTATTATTTATAGTACCCATTATCTAGGCAAAATTCTGTAAAAATTATATTTTCTTATTTTCCATAGCAGTTGCGCCCTCTAGCGGCCGTTTTACAAACTTGAAAATAATTTCCAGCAATTTCTCATAGCCTTTTTAGTTATAAATATTTTTTTTCCGCAGGCCCTACGGCTAATACTTTCCGAGATACAGCCGAGAGCTATTCTTAGTGGGACACCCTGTGTATAAATCTATAAATGTTTAAATAAAAATGCGTTGTGTGGCGAATAATTCTTTATAGAATGAAATACTATAAATCATTATACAGGATAGTCCGAACTGTATTCCTGAAACTTCGGCATCATATTCCGCAGATAAAAGTAAAATTCGTATAAATGTATGTCCTAAAATGCTTGGTAGCATTTGGAAATATGAGCGATATTTTCAAGGATAAAAAGGTGCCCATGAACCTAAAGAAAAAGGCTTACAACAGCTGCATTCTACCTGTGCTTACGTATGGCTTAGAGACTATGGCAATTACTCGAAAAACAGCAGAACAACTACGAGTAGCACAAAGAGCCATGGAAAGAATCATGTTGGGAGTCACCATTAGGGAAAAAATACGGAATACCCACATACATCAAAAAACAAAATTAATAGATGTCGTTAAAAGAGTGGCAAGTCTGAAGTGGCAATGGATAGGACATGTGGCAAGACAGGATCCAGACCGATGGCCCCAAAAAGTAATCCTATGGAGATCTAGGGGAACAACAAGAAGAGATGGGTAGATGACGTCAGGGCAGTGGCGGGAAGACAATGGATAAGATTGGCTAGAGATCGCGAAGCATAGAAAAACCTAGAAGAGGCCTATATCCAACACTGGATGGAACCAGGCTGAGAAAGAAGAAGAAGAAGAAGAAAGTGCTTAGTTTCGGAGATACAGACTGCAGAAGTTTCGTTTTTATTTCGATTTTTTCCAAATCATTTCTGAAGTAAAGTCAATATTTGGATGAAAATTGGTTTTGGGAGTTTTTTGACATGAGAAATTTGATTTTGATGTCAATATGACTCCTATTTGTAGGGGGCGCCACTTACATGTGTTTTAACTGTTTTGAAGTTCGTCCGTACCTGTATAAAACTACTGAGTGAAAAAATATACATGTTGACATCAAAATCAAATTTCTCATGTCAAAAAACTCCCAAGACACCAATTTTCATCCAAATATTGACGTTACTTCAGAAATTACTTCGAAAAAAGTCGAAATAAAAATGAAACTTCTACACCCTGTCTCTCCGAAACAAAGCATTTTAGGACATACATTTATACGAACTTTTTACTTATTTTTATCTGCAGAAGTTTCCGGAATACAGTTTGGACCACCCTGTATAATAATCATATCATAAATATTCGATATTCGACAATCTTTTCAACTAATAGCACCAGTAGCAACCTAGCATTCTTCTCTTTACATATGGTTTGTATCTTGTGAACCCTCCCTTCACATTAATATGATTAGTGATCTATAATTTAGATAAAATTTTGTAAACGAGTGGCAAAATAAAATAGGAATTGTTTTTAGTTGGTGGACCAGCCGAGTACTTTACCGAAGGTAGGGAATGTGTCAACTGTGGCGCCATAGATACACCTTTATGGCGAAGGGATGGTACCGGTCACTACCTTTGCAACGCCTGTGGCCTTTATCATAAGATGAACGGCATGAACAGGCCCTTAGTCAAGCAGCCTCGTAGATTGGTACTTTACTTTATTCAGAAATTATGATTGTGTAGAAATTTTACTGACTTTCCAAGCATCCTCGGTATCGGTATAAAAACTTGTTTTAGGAAAAATTCAATAGAATTTTTATCATACCGGATGTGTTTAGAAAAAAAATCTTTTTTACTTTTTATATTTCCCTCTCAGTGTTGAAATACCTAGAAAAGGGTGTAAAAATAGTCAGTGAATTTTCTAAACAAATTATTATCTTCATTTTTTAAAATTACAATTTAAACATTGTGGTCGAACGAATATAAACACCTAATTACAATTAATTGAATAGCCAATTCTAATTATATATTTATTTTCCTCTCTAATCTCTGCATGAAGCGATTGCATGCCTGTTTTACAACATGTTTTCAATTAAATTTAATTAAACGAAAGATAAAAAAAACTTTAAACAATTTTGAAAAAGTCCCAATAATTGTTTGAGGTAAGTAAGTCAGTGTTCTTTTCATGCATTACATTATCATTTTTAACATTTTCTGTGTCATTTTCTTATCAGCTACATGTACAAAGGTTGATATAAACGGATAGTGCATTTATATGTATTTGATCGAATAAATTCAGCAAAAAACTTCATTTAATTAACGTTTATTTTGATCAAAATTAATTTTAAGATTCAAGATATTTATGATGACTTTAATTAAACGTTTGTTTATAATACTGTTTATCCCATATGGATTTTTTTTATTTATTGCTTTAATGCTTTAGGTGAAATGTGACTTTTTTAATTTTAGTTGTTTGTTGCACATCACACAGCATCCAAGTCCACCTTAACGAAACACTAACACCAAAGTAAAATTTCACCTAAATTACTTTTCTGCACGACTGTTTATAACTAAATACTGTATTTAAAAAAAATAGTTTACTTCTTGCCTTACTTTCGTGGTTTGGATTTAAAAAAAAATTCCCAGAGTGACAGAAAGTTATTTTGATGTATATATTTTTAAAAAACTAAACTTAAAATGAATTGCAGAAACTAGACATGAATTTGAAATTAAATAAATTTTGTGAATGGGGCAGCATTAAAATAACGTATATACTATTAAAAAGGCATACTAAAACTCTATAGATAGTGTAACTAAGCAAATCTGGAGTACAAAAATTTAATTCACCAATTAGAAACTTTTTTTTAGTTTTATATATGACGATAAGAAATTATTAAATTAATTTATGAGGATTAAAAAATAACTTATAGATATTCGTTCGTCCACATCAGTGTAAAAATACTTAAAAACACCCCCAAATGTACGAGGCTGCGCTGCTACAAATCGGTTCCACTTTTACTTTACCCCATTTTATATTTTTGATTGTTTTACCATATTTAAAAACAATTTAATGCTTACTTTTGGTTAACCCCCCGTCTGGCGTTGTTTCAGTGGCGGCCGAGCCTGGTACTGGGGGTGTTCCAGAATACTACAAGAGCTACTACGGCGGCTACAACGGGGCCGCTAGAGCCCCATTGCCTCTGCCCACCGAGGAGAAAAGCAGTCGACGACTGGTAGGTTATGCACGATTCAGTTTTTGCACTTCTTTTTTGCTTTATTATTGTTCTCTTTTCCTATTCACTATGTAGATAGATTTATTTTTCAATTTATTTCTTTAAAATCATCAAAATTTATTAATATCATTTTGTTTTTGCGTTTGCTGTAATGACCAAGTCGACAACATAGACAAGACTACATTTATATATATATATATATAAGCAGCGATTATGAGTGTAATATATCTATCAAATAACAATGAATAATACTTTAATTCATAAAAAAAATCTTACTCCATTCATTCTCCTCGTTTTACAAGTCTCCAAAATTTTTAATATTCATTAATCGATTTTGTGCTCCTAACTATCAGTTGATGATTTAAAATTGTTCAAAAGCCTAAGTTTTTAAAACTAATGATAAATTATGAGATGGCTCATGTTGACCATATTTTTATAAATTTATATTCTATCTATGTACTAAATTAACAATAACATTTAGTGAAGAGATATGTCTTCAGATATGTCAACAAGGTCATTTCTTATCATCTGACTATCCTTTCTCTATATCTTGTAGTATTCTAGAGCATTTCTTTACTACCTCTGTTAATCAAAGTCCTTTAATATACATAATTTGTGAACATTATAGTCTGCATCACGGCGAGCTGGTCTTACCTGTAGCAACTGTCACACAGTCACAACTTCTTTGTGGAGAAGAAACACTATAGGTGAGCCTGTGTGCAATGCGTGCGGCCTCTACTTCAAACTACATTCTGTCAACAGGCCTTTGTCGATGAAGAAGGATACTATACAGGTAAGAATAGTCATTGTATTTGAGAATCTTTGGATAAATGTTTAAGAACGTTAAGAGCACACACGGGTCGTTTCGAACGAGAAGAGGAGGGTTTTTAAACTTTGAACGAATCTCCCTCCACTCTACTTCGAACGTAAATAATAGTACGTAAACGAATGAGTGGTTTAGCGGTCGACGCGGAGTCGAAGTGATTGGTACTATTATTTACCTACGAAGGTAGAGTAGAGGGAGATTCGCTCGCAGTTCGAGACGCTTCCGCTTCGAAAGCTAGACGATCCGTGTGTGGACGCTCTAAATCTTACTGACTAGTGATATTTATTAGGTTCAATATACACTTTGTACGCTGTAAATGCTTATTAAAAAAGGTATAGTTTTTTAAGAAACGCACTATATTATATACTATCTTGTAGATTGTATGGGGAGGGGAGAAGTTAATCACCCCGACCTCTATTGTATCTCCCTTTCTTGAGTTATAATTCATCATACAGTGTCAGGGTTTTTACACAAGCCAGTATTTGAGACCGTTTTGCAGAGGTTAATTCTCCAACTCTGATATCAGTCGAATCAAACTTTATGGCACGAATGATTGTCGTCTCGGCGCACTCAATGATGAAGTGTTCTGGTGTTTCTCCATTTTCCCCACAGAATCTGCATTCGCCGTTGTTTCTTAGCTTTAATCCACTGAGGTGTTCATTGAGGAGACAGTGTGTCCTATTAAAAACTCCGTAACAATCCAAAGATTATTCTTATTTAATTCAAAAAAAATATTTAATTTTTCTCGGTGTCTGTAAGTCTTGTATCTTTGGATGATTCCCATTCCAGGTTACAGATTGGGTCTTTCAGGTTCTTGAGTTCCACTATAGGTTGATCCTCACTTGGAAAACCAAACTGTTCTGGTCCAGTTAGTGCAGTGTTCAGGAATAGGAGGTAATGAGAAAGCAAATGATCTAGCTAGAAAAGGAGCGAACGCTCCACTAACTGCACCAAAACCGTTCTGCTTCTCACGTGGAAACCAACTAAAAGAGGAACTCAAGAACTTGGAAGACTCCATCCGTAACTTGGAATGGGAATCCTGCAATGGGCTAAGACACTCGATGAAGTTTCTCAGCACTTACGAATTATAATTTTCATTGATTTAATGTAGAACAATCTTTGGATTGTCACGGGGTTTTTAACAGGACGCTGTCTCCTTAATTAATACCTCAGTAGATTGAAACTACGAAAAAACGGCGAATGCAGATTCTGTGGGGAAAATGGGGAAACACCAGAACACCTCATCACTGAGTGCGCCTAGACGATAGCACAACCATTCGTGATATAAACTTTGGTAGGACTGAATATCGGAGATGGAGAACTACTCTCAGTAAAACCGTCTTAGACACTGGCTTTTGTTAAGGCTCTGAGGCTGTATGATGAGTTATAACTCAATAAATGGGGATACAATAGATCTGTAACGTCGGGATGATTAACCCTCCTCCCACTCATTCTCTAGAGAGTGTTTACTGAAAAGTGGTATTTTAAAAAATTAATTTATTAAGTTCAGTATACACTATAAACCAGGGTTGGAAAAAAACATGAATTTTTTAAAAAAATAAAAAAAATCAGATTTTTTTGATTTTAATAGAAAACATTATTTAAATCCGATTTCCAAATAATTAGGACTCAATTCCAATTAAATTCCTATCCTAAATGGCTAAATCTTCATAACTCTGCCCGCAATACTGACAACGCATGTAATTTTCCCAGACATCGGTCACCAATATATTCTGCAAAAAAAGTCGCTCGCTTCAGATCATAAGGATTTTTTTTGAAATACCACAAGTGTATTATTTTTGTAATTTCAACGCCTAGACATAAAAGTAAAGCACTTTTACGCCTAAGCACCAAAAGTACAAAAAATATATTATTAAACTGCTATTAAGCGTCAATTTCAACGAGTGTACAAATTTTTACTCGATTACTTACAAGGCATTACTTTTTATATTATTTGCAACGTTTGGAATTGAGTAAAAAATTATTTGTAATGTTTAATTTGTAAAAATATAGTATATTCTACTCGGAGTAAAAATGTACTTTTGTGCCTCCCTGTTTATTGCTAGTCCGTCAAACGTACAACCTCGTAAAAAAGTATAATTTTTATTCCTTACACAATACACTATTGTTCGGAAATAGTCTTAAGTCGAGAATGAAATTAGTATTATCTATTGTCAAAGTGTAAAATAAAAAGATATAAAACAGCATATTTTCTGACAACGCTTTGAAGATATAGCATCAAAAGAACCTTTTTCTGCACTAGAGGTTGCGAATGAAATGTATTCGAACATCATTTTATTTGCCACTTGTACATAAATTTCAAAATAAATCCCTGCCCTTTAGAAGTCATGGATTCACACAAAATTACTTCAAAAATCTTTCCAACATTTTAATTGATGAATAGATATGTAGTAGGTATAATATGTGTTATACAAATCATTTTTTATATAGTTTTTAACATTTACAATTTTTTTTTCGATTTATTAAACGTATTTAAATGTAACAATAGCAAGTGTAACATTTTATTTAACGAATAGATATAGGGTATATATGTTATAGAAATATTTTGTATAGTTTTCTAGGACACATTTTTATAACTTTTACAGTTATTTTTCGATTTATTGTAAAGTTTTAAAAAAATGATTTTTTGATTTAAATCACATGATTAAAATTTAAAAAATCACTTGATTTAAATCACGATTTAAATCATGCCAACCCTGCTATAGTAAACGCCACGAATGTTTGGGAGTGATTCATCGGTCGCAGGTCGCTACAATGTGAACTAATCTGTTCAAGATCACATAAAACTTAATTCCAGTGCCGTGGTGTTTTAAGTCATATAATAATCAATATATAATCTGGTGTAATTTGTTGTTTTAACTGTCAAAGTCTTGTCAAAACATATATTTGGTTATAAATATAAAATGGAATGCCCCATTGGTTGTACTGCAAGCACACCAATGGACTGACGCACAAAAACGAATCAATCAAAGAAACGCGATATAGTATCGTCTTTGTCAATCACGCTAACATTTTAGAATAAGTAGGAGAAGCGCAGGCAGATGATTAGACGGGGCCTTTAAAAACCTACGTCTGCGGTAAAAAATTACGTTTTTAATGTAAAAATTATAGCGCGCGTGTCGATTCTAACTTCATCAAGCGATGAATCACTCCCAAACATTCGTGGCGTTTACTCTATAAACGCTTATCTAAAAAGATATAGTTTTTAAGAAACGCGCTGTTATAAACTATCTTGTAGATTGTATGGGAGAAGGGGATTTAATCACGGCAACCTCTATTGTGTCCCCCTTTTTGAGGTATAATTCATCATACAGTCTCAGGCAGGGTTCGGAAAACTACATGTTACTTTTAAAAACTACATAAACTACATTACATGTAGTTAATGTAGTTTATGTAGAGGATGTAGTTTATGTAACCTATGTATGTAACTTTCAAATATCAAAGGTTTGAGGTGAGGTTATAATAAGTTGAAGCTTTAAAAACACATAATGTATTTAAGAAAACAGAAGAAATATGACTTTAAATATAATATTTACATCATATTATCTCTATTACACCTCATACAAAGGGAAATTATTCATAATTTTAATACATAGTTTATTAACGTAGTTTTCATGTAGTTAATGAACAGGAAAATACGTAGTTTTTGAGGAAAAACTACACGTAGTTAATCAAGTAAATTACGTCTTAATTAACTACTTCCGAACCCTGGTCTCAGGACTTTGACACAAGCTAGTATTTGAGACCGTTTTACAGGGTTAATTCTTCAACTCTGATATCAGTCACCAAAGTTTATGACACGAATGGTTATCGTCTAGGTGCACTCAGAGATGAGGTGTTCTGGTTTTTCTCCATTTTCCCCATAAGGTGGGTATTCACTTGCAACAAAACACTCCGAACGAACCAAACGCGCCGCGCGCGCTGTAACAAACTTGTGTAGTCAGTACGTTGCGCCGAACCGAACCGAACGCGCCAAACATTTTCCGAAGCTTGTCGGTAAACGGGATTTGCTCAAAAGAATTTGTTCGTTGGCCGGTGTTCAGTGGATACGGCAGTTTTGAAACATGGAGTGGAACAGAGAAAAGTGTTTAGAGTTAATTGAATTTAACAAATAATTAATTATTAAATTAATTAAATTCTTCTTATGCATATAATCTAGGTCACTAAGTAAGGCCATATTATATTGACGGCGCAAAAAGAGGCGTCTTGACCACATTTTTCGTCCTTTCCTTTTTATTACCCCTTAATGCCTCTATAATTAAAAAAGCACCAGCCGCTATGGTAATATCAGATGCATCCATGTCGACAAACACACTAACACTGATTACTTGTGGGAACGCAGCGAACACCGCAAACAGGCGGAACACTCCGCGCAAAATGTTTTGTTGCAGGTCGTTCAGAGCGCTCTCGGAAAATGTTTTGTTGCAGATTGTTTGGAGTGCGCGGCGCGTTTGGTTTGTTCGGAATGTTTTGTTGCAAGTGAATACGCACCTATAGAATATGCATTCGCCGTTGTTTCTTAAGCCGCGTATAAATATGCCGAGGCAAGTACGAGACAAACCCGAAACGAGTATGAAACGAGGCTATAGCAAATTCTTTCCAAAAGGCGTACTAATATGCCGAGACGAGGACGAGGCGAGTCAACCTCAAGCGGAATTCGTCATATTATAGCCTCGAGTCGAGCGATTTAGCCTCGAGCAGAGTCCCTGCCCAGTCGAACGGCGTTGTCTCGCGGCTATCCATTTTCAGTGGAGCCTTTGGCGAACCCACAAAATTCTTCATAGGGCTGTGCGATACTGAGGCAGTATTGATATTTTGGTATCGGTTGTATTGAATATAAAGTATCGATACTTTAAAATATTGATAAATATATTAAAGTATTATTCGATACCAGTCAATATTTTAAAAAATTAATTAATAAATTTAAGTATAATGTGTTTTTTAATTGGATTAGGATCGAAAAAATCAACAGAAGTCCTTTGTTTTAAATTTGTCGACGTTTCGCAAAATTTATTTGCATCTTCAGGACACTACAAAGTTAAGAGAGCAAAATACAATCAAAAAATTTTAAAAATTTAACAAACAACTTAAAACACATATCAGTGGAATTCCACACATACACAATTGGTAAAACTACCCTAATGTTAACAATTAAATAAAATATATGTATATGTTATAAACTTAAGATCGCTTGTAAATAAAAATAATAAGGGATAGGGCCAGAATATAATCAGGATATTTTCTTATTCGCATTTAACGAAAAAAATCGACGATGGTGGCACTGTTTTATACAAAAAACTACCCGGATCAGAACTAAATCAGTCATCAAACGATCTCAAATTACTAAAAGCACTTGGAAGAAAATGATAAAACACTTAACCTAGGGTTGGCAACTTTGAAAATAAAAAATAGGGGCGAGAGGATAAAAAAAGGCACAGGCGAAACATTTTTGAAACGTCGCTCAAATGTCGAGAATTTACCAAAAAGTTATATAAACGGTATGCGATAAATATTTAAAATACACAAAAATATTTATACTCAAAACTTATTAAAATAAAGCAAACCATTGTCAACAAAACTTTTTTTCAAGACATAAACTAACAGTAAGTAAACATAAAATTACATAAAAGACACAGATTAACAATTCTTTAAAGCATTGTGGCGATAAACGAATATTATTTAGATTTTGAAGTTGGTATGTAACAAAGTTTTCAATACGTGAGAGAAAAGAGGACAATCAGATCATGGGCGCCGGACAGGGGGGGCAAGAGATGGATCAGGGCTGGATCACTGAAACAGTAAAATATAAAAGCTATCTATAAACATCCATCTGTAAAAAAATAATCATTATTATGAAATTTTGGTAATTATTGGGAAAACTGGAAATCGTCAGATTTTCACCAAAATTGGTATACACCCTATTTTGAGGTCGTAGATTACGAATCTGAAGGCCGAATTACGAATCTTTTTCTTGGCGGTCTCTTACCGTTTTTCAGAAAAGCGGAAAATTATTTCAACATCGAATTTTTCTTAATTTCTCTATTTTTAAGGTTTTCTAGCACATATTTTGTTAGGTATTCAATAAACAATGATGTTATTGTTATTTTCTGTTACTTTTTAACCAATTCTATGCATAATAGAGGAAAATTTGCTAAAATAAATTTGTAAACAATCTGAAAATGTTGGGTTATGTGTTTCTGGCATTTAAAGCAACGTTGCCAATGCTAAACCTAAATTTAGCGTGATTTTTCGCTCATTCTGGGATTACGAAAGGCGGTCGCCAGAAGAACGGCTCCTTCCCATAATTGCTATTTTACCAACGAGAACTGACTATTTATAACCACGAAGTTGCACGAAAGAGATTTGATTGCATTGCTTACAACTTCCATGCGGAGGGTGTTAATCTTTTGTTGTTATATTATATCAAAAAAAAAAGATTAACCCCAAGTTGTAAGCAATGCAAGCGAATCTTTCGTGCAACTTCGTGGTTATAAATAGTCTTTCTTTCTCTCTTCTTTGCGGAGGGGGTTAATCTTTTTTGATATAATATAACAACAAAAGATTAACACCCTCCACATAGAAGTTGAAACCAATGCAATCAAAACTCTTCCGCGTAACTTTGTGGATATAGGTAGGTAGGTATATTTAATTATTTGTCGATCTCATAATAGGAAATTTATTTAAAATCCCTAATCACCCGAAAAATAGAAGATATGGCAACGTTGTAAATTTTCAAATTTCTAGATTAGGTTTAGAATATATTTGTCTCTCTCATAACATAGGAGAGAGAAAGAAGGATATATCAAATGTCAAACTTCCATCTGGTCTCAATTTTCTTTGTTATTTTGTTAGGAAAAGTGTTTTTCAGTAAAATTTTGGACATTTTTCTATCCCCAATCAAGTGCAGCTTTTAGATAAACTATAATATAACGGAAATATAGTGAAATTATTACTTTATAGGGCCGAAATAAAGAAAAATTCAATGTTGAAATAATTTTCCGTTTTTCTGAAAAACGGTATGAGACCGCCAAGAAAAAAGTTCAGATTCGTAATCTACGACCTCAAAATAGTGTGTATACCAATTTTGGTGAAAATCGGACGATTTCCAGTTTTCCCAATAATTACCGAAATTTTTAGGTGTTACCTGTAAAATAATAAAAAATGTGTTTCAATTTTTTATTCATTTTTACCTTGCCCCCCCCCCCTAAACTTCATTCTTCCGGCGCCTATGAATCAGATCAAAAAGAGGACTGTTTCTGGAATAGAGGACGGTTGGGAACCCTATTTTAACCCCCTGTAGCTACGAATCAAAGCAGAATTGGATTGGTTGATATAAAAATAAATCTTATTTTACGTGAGGAACTTCCCCACGAGAGATGGAACATGTTTTTGAAACACCCTGTATATGTTTGTTTAATTTCAAAATAGGTAAAAAACAAGCTAGATAAATTAAAGGAATTCATGATAAATTTAAATTATATTTGGACTGTTTACATTAAAAAAAACTGGAGAACGCCGACTGAGATACCTGGAGATAACGGCACGGCAGCGGCGGCGGCGGAGCCTTCTGTCAGTGCCGTTTTTTTGAGTCTTTAATTATTTTATTCAATAATATATTTTGTATGTGGTTTGTATATCTATAAAAATTTTAAATAGAGTAACAGTGCTTTCAGATGGAGCGGACCGTACGCGCAGAGCGTCCGCACGGATGTTCTTTCAAGATAGCTCATCCGGACGGAGCATACGCGACCCAGGTGAAATTGTTCATATAAGCTCATGGTACTTGCTCGAAGTCCATTGAAGTTCCATTTGAAAGCGCTGTAAGATAAGATCTAATTCGACTTTATTTATTTAAAAAATTAGAAATTTAAGTAATTAAGATTTAAATTATTAATTTAAATCTACATTTAAATGCCAATAACTAACCTGGAATATATATTGTAAATAATATATCTGCATTTCTTCATTTCTAGAGTTGTATATTTTTTCAAGGTATTCAATTCGCCACATTATTATTCTATGGCTTTCCATCATTGCAGCACGCTTATTAATAATTTTTAATATGTATATAATTTTAAATCTAATTCCTAGCTTTTTAAACCTTCGCCGTAATGTGCCTTCTGAACAGAGTTTTTTTTAATTATTTCTATGGCGGGAACTTTATTATTTTCATATTTGCCATAAGTTAAGTTTCTTAGTAGTCTGGATAGTTCAAATTTCTGGATTTTTCTATATCGAATCGTTCCTTTCTTTGTCGATTCCCTTTATTTATGAGAGTACCGTAAGGAACTTCTGAGAGCATGGCCACCTTTTTCAACACACTCGATTTGCCTCTCTTATCTTCTATGTATCCTATATTTATGTAAAGAAGCTTGTTTTACATCTTTAATTCCGTTCAGCAGAAATAGCGCATAATTTACGTTTGAGCCGTTAATAACTCGACGAAAAGTTCAGTACGTTTATTCATTTTTCATAAAATTTTCATGTTTTTATAAAAGAAATCACTAGTAAATCTTTGTATATGAGATTTACCTACTTTGGCTAACTTACCTATACTATTTTAGAGAAGACAAAATTGCATCTTTTTAGTTAGGATGCATTATTAACATTATTACAAATAAAGGAAAGAATATTTATTTTTATATAAAAATGGGATATGGAATCTGAGCCCCTTGAGATTCGAGGCAATTGTTCCGCGGAGCCGCGGTGTATACGCCACTGGTTAAATAGACGCTCCAATCCTTTTGATGGTTCGCCAAAGGCTCCGGAGAAAATGGAGACAACGCCGTCCGGCTGGGCATAGGCTCGGCTCGAAGCTCAGACCCCGTCCCAATATGACGAGTCAACCTCAAATCCGCTTGAGGTTGACTCGTCTCGGGTGTCTCTCGCACTCGTCTCGACATATTTATACGCAGCTTAATATAGCTTTAATTTACTCAGGTGTTCATTGAGAAGACAGTGTCTTTTATTAACCCTGTGACAATCCAAAGTGTTCTTACTTAATTCAAGGAAAATATTTGATTTTTTTCGGTAGTAAGTTCTGAGAAATTTCTTCGACTGTCTTAGACCGTTGGAAGGTTCCCATTCCAGGTTACGGATGAAGCCTTCTAGTTTCATGAATTCCGCTTTAACTTGGTTTCCACTTGGGAAACCGAACGGTTCTGGTCCAGTTAGTGTAATGTTAAGGCATAGAAGACAATGAGAAAGCAAATTATCTATCTAGAGATGTAGCGAAGACTCCACTAACTGGATCTGAACCGTTCTGCTCCCTAAGTGAAAACACGTGAAAACCAACTAAAAGCGTAACATACGAACTAGGAGGACTCCATCCGTAACCTGAAATGGGAATCCTGCAACAGTATAAGACACTCGAAGAAGTTTCTCAGGACATACGACCGAGAAAAATCAACGATTTTCCTTGATTTAAGAAAGAACAATCTTTGGATTGCCACGGGTTTTTAACAGGACATTATCTCTTCAATGAATACTTCAGTAGATTGAAACTAAGTAGCAACGGCGAATGCAAATTCTATTGGGAAAATGGGGAAACACCAGAACACCTCATCACTGAGTGCGCCTAGACGACAACTATTCGTGCCATAAACTTTGGTACGACTGATATAGGAAATGAAGATCTACCCTCTGTAAAACCGTCTCAATTTTTTTTAGGTCCCTGTAACTGTATGATGAGTTTTTGTAGATCGTTTGCTTTTTCATAAACTTCTATCCCTTAGTAGGCTGGCACCCAGATTAGGAGAACTATATTTCCTTTGCCTTTTTTTCTTGCCTAATAAACTTTCTTGTATAAAATGTTATTTATTAATTTGTTATTACTATTATTATTATTATATATTTTTTGTTTCAGACGAGAAAGAGAAAGCCCAAGGGTAGTAAGTCGGGTCAATCAAACAACGGCGGTCAAATAGCTCAGAGACATGGAATTAATAACAATAGGATTAAGGTGGAGAAAATAGTCAAAATTGAATCATCATTGGGTAACTATTTTAATTAATTTGAATCCATAGCTATAATTTCTTAAAAAAGAAGAAAAAAGATTAAACGGCTCAGCCCTCAACAACTCGTAACCGTATACACCAGTGTACACCAGTGCAGACACGCACACTGACACACTCACACAACCACACCTACACTAGTGCAAACTGATGTAACTGCCTTCAGGCTTCATCAGTACGGTAAGGAATCAGGAAGCGAAGAAACCGACAAAAAACCAGGAAGCAAACGATGCAACGAGGCACCGTGTGCAACCCAGGAGATGGAAAAAAATTGATGAAGAAACGAAAATAAAAGATGGTAAATAAAAGGAGCAAACGGGAATTTTTCTCCATCTCCTGCTTCCTTCTGTTCCATCTGTTTGCTTCCTGTTTTTTTTATGTTTTGGGATCGGTTTCTTGGCTTCCTGATTCCTTACCGTACTGATGAAGCCTGAAGGCAGTTACATCAGTTTGCACTGGTGTACACTGGTATATACGGTTACGAGTTGTTGAGGGCTGAGCCCTTTAATCTTTTTTCTTCTTTTTTATACACTTCCCTCACTATTTCTTTCTTTTTCATATAATTTCTTATTTATTCTTAAATTTTCTTCAAGATTCTCTCTCTTCAAGTCTCATTTGCATGTCTCAATTTCTTCGAAAGTCCTTCTATAAACTTTTCTTTTGAAATGACAGTTTCGTAAAGATTCCACCTAAAAATAATAAAATTAGAGAAACAAAAACAGAATCTACAAAAACAATTTTTTGGATGAAACAAAATTTAGAGACAATATACACTAGCTACTTTGGACGATTTCTCCTAGGTTATCATTAAAAGGTGATAAATGTAAATGGGCCATCAGCTAGACAATAAAATATTATTTGACATAAAAAAATAAATGAAAAAATTAATAAAAAAAAAACAAAAAAAAATACCATAAATCCTTTCTTTATATTTTTCAGATCAATTTGGTCTTACGCACTTACAACAAACCACACCCACAAACTTCCTCTACAACCAGGGATACCAACGACTCAGTCCCACCTATTCATCACAATCCCCACAAAATCTAACGCAAGCAGACTACAGCGTCCTACATCACAATACAAGTCCCAGTCCACAATCGAATACGTCAGACTTGCACTCCGAGTCGCCTCATTCGCCACTTATTTTGCACAACAACAATAACAACAACAATGGTAAAGTTTTAATTAATGGAGAGCACACGTATGAAAGACCGACGGTTGTGTCTATATCGTCCTAGAACCGCATCACGAAATTTAATTTAATTCTATGATATTTTATGTGTTACTGAAGAGACATTAGTGAATATTATTGAGGGGTTTGATGTTAAAAATCCTGTGTAAATAATTTACACAAACAATTTGGGATACACTATCCAATATGTCATCTTAGAAGGTGATATATTTTTTGAGAGAGTGTTTTTGGGACATATATGTATTTGAAACTGTGTAAAAAGTGTACACAATCAACCATTGATACTATTCTAAATTCGGTAGCTATAAAGCTACAAGGTACAAAGTTTCTTTGATAAAACATCGTCAAAGTAGGCGTAGAAATATTATTTTAGTTCGAGTATTATTGTCTATCGTTGAATCTTTCTACGGTGACTACTATACTATATACTAAGTTAATTTCAACATAAACTTTAAATGATTTAAATCTTAAGTCCTTGACTTAAATCATTTTCTCTAAAGTTAAGTCATTTTCGTAAAGACTTAAATCAATGTAATATAATTTAAGTCATTTTTATGTCAAGACAGTGAAAATTCAGATGATGTATCATAAAATTATATAAAAATCTGACAGCCTTTTATAAAAAAAATTATATCTTTTTAAAAAATTTAGCCTTTTTCTAACGAGTTAATTCTTTTACTATTTCGTAATAAAGATTTAAATCACAAATTATTTTGTCTTAAGTCAGCTTTCGAAAAATGACCCAAAATCAAATGACTTAAGTCATTAAAAATACTTAAGTTTCCTGTGAGCTTAGAGCTCTGATGTACAGGGTGTCCCACTAAGGATAGCTCTCGGCTGTATCTCGGAAAGTATTAGCCGTAGAGCCTACGGAAAAAAATATTTATATCTAAAGGGGCTATGAGAAATTGCTGGAAATTATTTTCAAGTTTGTAAAACGGCCGCTAGAGGGCGCAACTGCTATGGAAAATAAGAAAATAGAATTTTTACAGAATTTTGTCTAGATAATGAGTACTGTAAATAATAGCTTCATAATCTTCAATAAATTTTGAATTTTTTTTTGTTAGAACCATTTTCCCCCATCTGCTAAAATAAAGTGGTGGGGGAAGGTTAGATCTATCTTTATATAAATGTTAATAACTCCGGACTGGATGATCAGAATCCAACAAACGAGGGCTCGTTTAAAAGAGAGTTTCTTACTCTATATTATACCATAAAAATAATAATAATAAGGTTTTGAACGTAGACGCTAGGGGGCGCTTTCTTACAATTTAACAAACATAGCGCGTTTTTTCAAAAAATTAAATACAATAGTATATGTAATTTTAGCTCATAGTAAAGAGTAGTAAAAGCTTAAAAAGTCAGCGAAAACCGCATCTTGATATCTTCTTTCAAACCGAAGATATTAGCAAAATTATAATAAATACCAAAAAATAAGCTCTTAATTACCTTATTTTTATAACACGGTATCAGTAGCCCTCTTGATTATGCCCATTTGAACAAAAAAATAAGATAAAACAGTTAGTTTATTTTAAAATCGACGATATACCAAAATACCATAATACCAGATGTATTCATATCTAATAATTAAGATATTAATAACATTGAACTAGAAACGATGATTCAGTGAAGTCATGGTAGGTTTTGAAAAAAAGTTGTTTTTGACGTAATAGTATAAACGTCAAATTGTTATTAGATCAACATTTTGATAGTCTTTTATCTTTTGATTGCTTTTTCAAAATGCCAAACTTCAACCAAACTTCAACTACTTCAAATAATAAAGGCATTTTGAAAAAGCAATCAAAAGATAAAAGACTATCAAAATGTTGATCTAATAACAATTTGACGTTTATACTATTACGTAAAAAGCAACATTTTTCCAAAGCCTACCATGACTTCACTGATCATCGTTTCTTGTTCACTGTTATTAATATCTTAATTATTAGATATTAATACATCTGGTATTATGGTATTCTGGTATTTCGTTGATAATAAAATAAACTAACTGTTCCTATCTTATTTTTCTGTTAAAATGGGCATAATCTAGAGGGCTACTGATACCGTGTTATAAAAATAAGATAGTTAAGGGCAAATTTTTTTGTATTTATTATATTTTTGCTAATATCTTCGGATTGAAAAATTATATCAAGATGTGGTTTTCACTGACTTCTTAAACTTTTATTCCTTTGCCGTAGCAGTTGCGCCCTCTAGCGGCCACTCTACAAACTTGAAAATAATTTCCAGCAATTTCTCATGGCTTCTTTAGTTATAAATATTTTTTTTCTCAGGTTCTACGGCCAATACTTTCAGAGATACAACCGAGAGCTATTTTTAGTGGGACACCCGGTACAAGCTGTTGTATATGAAATATTCGTCGATAAAAAATGTTGACGCTGTGAAAGACTTGAGTGACAGATATAATAAAACTCGAACTGAAATTGTATGTCTAAACTCACTGCGATGGCGATTTTGTTCAATCAAAAAACAATAGTTAAAAACAGCTGAAGATTGATGGTCATCTTCAAGTGTTTTTAGTATGTTCACGTCAAAAAGCACTGTGAACTGTGATAGAAAATAATCACGTATAACAAAAAATGTTTATTTTTTACATCACACTGTCACTTTTTCTACATGATTTAGTGCTAACATTTTGATTGTATGATTTACCCTCAAAAATTGAGATTCGTTTTAATGAAGTGAAACAGAAACACTACATTTTTCTAAAAAATCATGACATACATAATAATATGTATTTTTTCTTTAGAGTTGGGGTTTATTATTGCCAAACAAGTAACTTAAATTTTGCTATATACAGGGTGTTACATAAATAAGTGTAAATATTTAACTATTTTTAAGGGTACCTATTTGCACTTATTTAAGGAACAAACCCTGTATTTTTATTAATAAACCTTGAGTTTGGAGATCATTGTTTATGAGATTTCTCGTAGATATAATTTAAGCTGTTACATATAATATATTATAAATATAATCTTTATATATTTTTTTCTTGACAACATAAATGTTTATTATTATACGCGTGATTATACGTAAGAATACTTTTATCAAAGGAGAAAATCCATGACTCAATTTTCCAAAAAAATTACTCTTAGCTCACTAGAATAAGAAAATATTATATATTGTAAAGAAAAGATATTCGAATAGATTAAGTACAAAATCATTTTTGTAAATATTTAGTTGTTTAGAATGTAAACAAGGTAAAAGTTCTATGCAGAGAGACCAAAGATATTGTTCCAAATTTCAATGTAGAATGTACAGGGACTACCAAAATGTTTTCACTACCTAACTGGAATTTTTTTTCTTATTGAGTAATTAAAAATATTTTATGTAAAATCGTTAACAAAAAATATTGAGTTACGTCATTCACTTGAACTTCTATTTTGCAAATGAATTTTAGAAAATTGACAATAGATTTGCATCCAACACCACTTTTTTTCAGACAAATTTTTTCCATTGTGATTTATATAGAGCATACTGTATACAGTATGTCCTCGGATAGTTTTTACCAGACAAAAAAAACTTTTTTATTATTGACATTTTGAGAAAAACGCATTCTTCATAAAAATTCTTGCTTATTCTAAAACGATGATTAAAAACATGTAGTTTAATTCTTAAAAATCAAAATGCGTTTCTATGGTAATATTAATATAATTTAGATTTTATTCTTTGATAGATGATTATTATTAATTTTGATTAGCAATTAGCATCATGTCGGAAAATGATTAGCATCATTTTCTGACTATTATCACCCTTTCCGTAGCATTGAACTAAATAAATGTTGTGCTTCTTTAACATTCTAAAACAGCAAAACATATGACGATGATAATTAAAATTCTATCAATAGCAATCTATCAAAGTATGAAAACGATATTATACCTATTATCAGAGAAACGCGTTTTGATTTTTAGGACTTGAAAAATTAACCATTATTTCATGTTTTTTTTTATTTTCTCTAAAACGGTATGGAAATTTGGAAAAGTTTTACGGGATTTAACTTTTTTAGAACAAGCAAAAATTTTATGAAGAATGCATTTTTTCCAGAAATGTCAATAATAAAAAGTTTTTCTTTCATACAGACAATGGGGACATACTGTACATTAAATTTTTAAAAAATACCATTCTATTTAATGGTAACATTTTGGTGGTCACCGGTATAACCATTGAATTATTATGATTCACGAGTGGCATTTTTTTGATGAATATAGTTTAACATACTGAAGGACCAAAATTAATTTCAAAAAATATCTCTTCTATTTATTTCCTTTTGAACTGCACTATATATATTTGCTACTATATATACAATTGAATGTTTATTATTTATTAAAATTAGGTTTACATACATTTGTCGGTCTAACAAAAATTATCATCAATTGTCATTTCAAAGGCAACTACGACGCCCTTTTAAAAAAATATTTTAGAATAACATATATTTAATAAAAAATAGCAGAAAAGTCGATCGACAAATCTATAAAAATATTCAACTTTTTTTTGTCCCTCAGTTTAAAATTATTCTACTAAAAAAATTGCCCTTGCTCTATATTTTATAAAATTATTATAGTTTAAATTAAAGTTTTTGTTATTATGACTGATTTTTGGCTCTCAGACCTCACTTCATTGTTAGATTATTTTTTTAAATCTATTCATCTAGAGGCTGAATCATTTATATCTATCATTCCCACTATGTTTATTATTATTATTATTAATGTGTATAGTAAATTTTATATTACCATTAGTTTAAGTATGGAGCGCAATAAGAGATTACAGTTTTCTCTTTAATAGATCTACCTAGTTTTAAGAAAGATATTTGTTAAATAGTTATTCTTATATATTTTTTTGAAATAATGTTACAGCGAAATAAAATTATTTGTAAAAATTTGTTTTTGTTTCATAGAGAACTTAAATAATATCCAATTCGCAGCTATTTAAGTCTCGAAAAAAACGTGTTCAATAAGGCGGCACTTCCTCAAGTAGGGAAATCAGTTTTCATATTTTAAATAGAAACCCCCATTTTTCCTAGATATTTATTTTTTTTTAGAAAATTTGATGAACTTTACCCCCTTTTTATTTTATTATCAAATAGGGATAACGTCAAAACACCAGTTCCCGGTAGATTACCGAAGTTAAGCGACTCTAGACGATGCGGGTAGATGGACGGGTGACCGTCTGGAAACTCTGTCGTACTGTTCTTTCATGGCAAAAGTGTTAAATATATTGACACACACTGCTCGTTCACGTCGATTTGAGACCGGGTGAGATCGTATAATCTCAAAAAAGTCTATAGGTACCTATGTGGCGGATTCATCTCTGTATACTGTATACAGTATGTCCTCGGATAGTTTTTACCAGACAAAAAAAAACTTTTTTATTATTGACATTTTGAGAAAAACGCATTCTTCATAAAAATTCTTGCTTATTCTAAAACGATGATTAAAAACATGTAGTTTAATTCTTAAAAATCAAAATTGCTTTCTATGGTAATATTAATATAATTTAGATTTTATTCTTTGATAGATGATTATTTTTAATTTTGATTAGAAATTAGCATCATGTCGGAAAATGATTAACATCATTTTCCGACTATTATCACCCTTTCCGTAGCATTGAACTAAATAAATGTTGTGCTTCTTTAACATTCCAAAACAGCAAAAAATATGACGATGATAATTAAAATTCTATCAATAGCAATCTGTCAAAGTATTAAAACGATATTATACCTATTATCAGAGAAACGCGTTTTGATTTTTAGGACTTGAAAAATTAACCATTATTTCATGTTTTTTTTTATTTTCTCTAAAACGGTATGGAAATTTGGAAAAGTTTTACGGGATTTAACTTTTTTAGAACAAGCAAAAATTTTATGAAGAATGCATTTTTTCCAGAAATGTCAATAATAAAAAAAGTTTTTTCTTTCGTACAGACAATGGGGGACATACTGTACATTAAATTTTTAAAAAATACCATTCTATTTAATGGTAACATTTTGGTGGTCACCGGTATAACCATTGAATTATTATGATTCACGAGTGGCATTTTTTTGATGAATATAATTTAACATACTGAAGGACCAAAATTAATTTCAAAAAATATCTCTTCTATTTATTTCCTTTCGAACTGCACTATATATATTTGCTACTATATATACAATTGAATGTTTATTATTTATTAAAATTAGGTTTACATACATTTGTCGGTCTAACAAAAATTATCATCAATTGTCATTTCAAAGGCAACTATGACGCCCTTTTAAAAAAAATATTTTAGAATAACATATATTTAATAAAAAATAGCAGAAAAGTTGATCGACAAATCTATAAAAATATTCAACTTTTTTTTGTCCCTCAGTTTAAAATTATTCTACTAAAAAAATTGCCCTTGCTCTATATTTTATAAAATTATTATAGTTTAAATTAAAGTTTTTGTTATTATGACTGATTTTTGGCTCTCAGACCTCACTTCATTGTTAGATTATTTTTTAAATCTATTCATCTAGAGGCTGAATCATTTATATCTATCATTCCCACTATGTTTATTATTATTATTATTAATGTGTATAGTAAATTTTATATTACCATTAGTTTAAGTATGGAGCGCAATAAGAGATTACAGTTTTCTCTTTAATAGATCTACCTAGTTTTAAGAAAGATATTTGTTAAATAGTTATTCTTATATATTTTTTTGAAATAATGTTACAGCGAAATAAAATTATTTGTAAAAATTTGTTTTTGTTTCATAGAGAACTTTAGGGCTCGAACTCACTGACGACCAGGTCGCAACGACCTGGCCGTCGGCTGGTCGGATGCATTGCGTTTATAGCTGCGGCCAGATGATCGACCAGTGTCAACAGAGTTGTCAGATCTAACGATTTTTTACGTTTTACCAATTAGAAAATATTGTTTCAGAAAGAATTAAGTTTCAGAAATGTTAAAATATCCAAGTTAACTAAAAAGCGAGGTTGCTATTCCTGAGCTTATTAAATGTTCTAATATTAAATAATGCATTTAAAATATTCTTGGATTTTTCGTTAATAAATACTAAATTGGTGTGGTATGGAGTAAGTAAAATCTCCAACCCCGACTACACAATAACGTCATTATTTCCATGTTTTTCAAATCCGCGATGCCTGCTATTCCATCAGTCGTTTCATAACAGAATATTCTACATCCTACGTCTATGGAATTTAATATGTGTAGAGTGAGATATGTAACTCGTGAGATTTTCAGCATTATATCGATAAAGGACAAGCAGGTAGAAAGTTTAGCTTCCAGTTATTTCAATGTTTACAATTTAACGAAGAATCTACTGTAACAAAACTCTTATAAAGGGTTAGGGGTTCGCTCAAGTCAAAGAAAACTCTTCGAAAAACACTCCGAAAATTCTTTATTCTTGGTATCTAAAATACTATACATTTACTTAGCAGGGGGAAAATTTTATATATATGGTACAATCTTACCTATCAAGCCTTTCTACTAACTTTTAAAAGTACAGTTTTACACTTTATGGCCACAGGATAATAAAATGAATACAATAAGAATAGTTGTTTCAGCGTACAGTAGCGAGAGTAAAATGAGAATCGAATTCAAATATGCAAGGCGCAAAAAAAGATTTAAATAAAAAACTGACTCTCCAGGTAGAGCTACGACCAAATAAGATTCCCCACATTGTTATGGCTGCTACACTACAACAGTAATTACTTCTATTTTTATGAATGTTTAAGTTACTTTCTCAATTTTTTTTCAAAATAATGTACCTATAGTAGAAATATAGTCTAATGAACCCTGTTTGAAAAACGTTAAATTAAATATAGTATTTAAAATACAGTTGTCCTCCTTGTACATGACTATAATACAACTAAAAAAAAACTAATTTAATAAAAAAAAACTGGTTGTAGAGAAACTTTAAATCTTATTTTTTTTATTTTTTAATATCGAAACTCAAAGGTATAATAACAGGTATCATACCAACCATAAATAGAGTAGGTATGTCATATAAAAATGTTTTGAGTTTTTACTAGAATCGACTCTTGATAAAAAAAAGGATTAAGTTTACTTTTGATCCAGTCTGTATACTATTTCTTTGGATTTCCTGCACGTGTGCAAAAACTACACTAAAACACTATATCTTATAGAAAATAAAATATTGTGCGTTGAATTTGAGGGATTTCATCTGAAAAATTATTAATTTGGAAGAAAACCGGCACCAAGCGGCAGAAAATAATAATATTTCCGTGCAGTCTTCTGGTCGCAACGACCAACGGACGGCCAGGACGTTAGTGTGCGCTACATCATTTGATTTAATGGTTTTAGAGGTAGCTGCGGCCGGGCCGGTGTGACCTGAACGTCAGTGTGTTCGAGCCCTAAAATAATATCCAATTAGCAGCTATTTAAGTCTCGAAAAAAACGTGTTCAATAAGGCGGCACTTCCTCAAGTAGGGAAATCAGTTTTCATATTTTAAATAGAAATCCCCATTTTTCCTAGATATTTATTTTTTTTTAGAAAATTTGATGAACTTTACCCCCTTCTTATTTTATTATCAAATAGGGATAACGTCAAAACACCAGTTCCCGGTAGATTACCGAAGTTAAGCGACTCTAGACGATGCGGGTAGATGGACGGGTGACCGTCTGGAAACTCTGTCGTACTGTTCTTTCATGGCAAAAGTGTTAAATATATTGACACACACTGCTCGTTCACGTCGATTTGAGACCGGGTGAGATCGTATAATCTCAAAAAAGTCTATAGGTACCTATGTGGCGGATTCATCTCTCCAAAAAATCCTATATGGGCATTTCGCCACTGCAAGAAAATCTACAAAGTAAAATAGTTATTCTTTGTAAACACTTCTGCGTTAATCCCAAACGGAAACTACTTGTCAGAAGTTAGGTTTACAGATATACAAATTTGCCTAACGAACAAAAAAAATGCTTAACGTTTCGGAAAGTTTATCTCTTTCCGAAGAAAAATATATTTTTTTTTAACCAATTCTTATTCAGATGATGTTTTGATCAATATTACACATGTATCTTTTATCTCAAAGGTTAAAGGCAGATAATTTTTTCGTTCGTTTAAATTTGTAAATCTGTAAACCTAACTTCTGATAAGTAGTTTCCGTTTGGGATTAACGCAGAAGTGCTTACAAAAAATAACTATTTTATTTTGTAGATTTTCTTGCAGTGACGAAATACCCATATAGGATTTTTTGGAGAGATCGTATATCTCATGAGTAAGAGTAACTCTCCAAGTCGGTAGGCCCTTGACAGTGATATGGGCGAGGACCGCGGTTCGGATTCCGCGTAAACAAAGTAGGCCCCGTCCAGATTAGCCTTAGCAGCAAGAAGGAGACATTAACTTAAGATACTTTACTTTTTATGGTTTCGTACCTCAAAAGGAAAAAATGGAACCCTTATAGGATCACTCTATTCTCCGTCATAGCAGCGAGTTTTTAAAAATTAAAAAATACAAGGACTAAAAAAATATACTTGATACCTATAAAGCGAAAGAAAATCTTACCTGAATATTTATATTTTTTCCATTTCAAAAGTCCATAAACTGTACAGGGTGGGTCAAATTCGACGCTTTTAAATGGAAACACCCTTTTCTATATTATCAACAGAAAAATTGATTTTTTATTTGGGACACCCTATATATTTTTAATTAACTGAAAAGAATTTAAAATTACCTTTCCAAAAATATAGCACACTTGATATTTTGTTATAATCCCCTTCAAAATACAGAATTTTTAAAAGTTCGCCACTTTTAACTAGTAGGCTTAGGACCCCTTATTGATGATATGCCCTTAATGGAACTCGAAAACATTATATTTCCAGCAAGACGACGCACCGCCTCTGAACGCTGAAGTTATCAGCCAATTTTTGCAGCCAATTTCAAGAATAATTGAATAGCTAACCAAGATCCCAGCCATTGGCCGTCGAGGCCGCCTAACTTAGTGCCCATGGATCTAATCCTATGCATATATTTGCGGAAGAATGAAGGTTCCTTATTCTTCCATATAATCTAGACAAGAATTAGAAATACTTAGCAGTTATGAGAGGGTATCTTTCACCCCTACTGAGTTAATGAATTCCGCGAGAAATGTTCAAAAACGGCCCCGTCTGTCCATAACAGAAAACGGTCGATATGTCGAATACCTGTAGCAAAATCTCATGTCTTGGTTTGCTATTTATTTTTATTGTTATTAGATATAGTTTAAATGTGTTGATGTTGGTTAAATATATTTTAAATTGTTATAAAATTCTGCATCTCTCATAGCAAATATTATTTTCGTTTTAATTGATGTTCACAGCTAGAATGTTTTTGCATTACAGCCGGTGCCGTTCAAAGCCTACTTATTTAAAGAGGGCGAATTTTTATATACTCTATATCTCGAAGAGGAATTGAGCAAAATATCAAGTGTGTTATATTTTTGGAAAGCTAATTTTAAATTCTTTTCAATAAATTAAAAATATACAGGGTGTCCCATATAAAAAATCAAATTTTCTGTTGATAATTCTTAAATTATTAATTTTAAAAAAATTATACTTAAACCATTAAATTCTACCTAAAAAGGTGGTTTGGAAATGTTTTCATAAAAAAACAAAATTTTCCATAGCAAAAAAGTTACAGCGATTTGTTAAAAATGCATATTTTTGAAAAACACCCCGTAACTCCGAAACGGTTTATATATAAAATGCGGTTTTCACCATCATGTTTTTGACAAAAATTAACCTCCAGACACCGATATTAGTTTTTGTCTATCTCCTATAGAAAAGGGTGTTTCCATTTAAAAGCGTCGAATTTTACCCACCCTGTACCTATAACAGAGCAGTGACAGACCATCTTCTAGTTAAAGATGTGTAAGATAGTTCAGCAGTTTTCAAAAGAATAAAATGCTACTTGGGCACCAGTCCTAAGGAACTTCCTTGATTCAAGTATTCTGAATTCTATAAAAGAAAATGAAGAACGATTAATTAAGGTATAGTTTCAATAGTTGACTAAATCTTGATTTTCATGCATCCGTTGTCCGACGATACGATGATACGATATTAGTTTTATTGGTTAAGTCGGTTACATTGATTTTTCTTAAAGGACAAAACGTAAATTTCAGCTTTTGTTATTTAACCAATTTTTATTCAGATCATGTCTTGATCAATATTACACATATGTGTTTTATTTCAAAAACTAAAGGCAAATCGTAGATAAATGAAACAATTTTAAATTGGAAAATGCTCATAAGAGCTGAACTCATAAGATAGCAATAATAACTTTGAGAAATGACGCTTTAAGCATTATTGCAGTTGAGGGTTGGAACCTTTGGTGTTACACAGCAAAATAAAAACAGTAAATCACCACAATACACCAAAACACTTTTACTTTTACACTGAACGCGCGTTTCGCTAACCATGTTAGCATCATCAGCAGATGATTATAAACTGTTTAAAAAAAGTAATAAAAAAGTTTATAATCATCTGCTGATGATGCTAACATGGTTAGCGAAACGCGCGTCCAGTGTAAAAATAAAAGTGTTTTGGTGTATTGTGGTGATTTAGTGTTTTTATTTTGCTTTAATCACTTTTTGATATTTTTTCAATGAGGGTGGTGTGAAAGATTTTAAAATTTTTGTAGATTCTGACTTTGACAAGAGAAAAATCATCAAGAAATGAAACTGATGGGTTTAAAAGACAAACCTATGCACAGTGGTTCCCCTTAATTAGCTGCGCGGTCATAACTGTTATATATCTAGATATAGCTTGACTACACCTTTTTTAATAGAAATTGATAACAAATGCTAAATAAATGTATATAAAAAACTTAATGTAATATGTATTTAAAAAATTGGGCCCAGTTCGTGTGATTTGCATTTTAAGTTCTAACTATTCGGAAGGGTATATAGACTATGTTTGCACATGTTTTTTTCATATTGAAGAGGTCAAATTTATTTTAAATGTTGAAAAAATAAAAGAGACAGTTGTTTCATTTTATAAATACAATTTTATTGTCAATTGATATACAGTGTGTCCACGAAATAAGCTGACACGAAGAGTAATAGAGAAAATAAGTTAATTTTATTTTAAGACAAAAAGTCAATTTTTAACCACCCGGTATAAGATCCGGCGGCAATTCGCGGCAGCCAGTGGCAATTAATTTATATGCAATATACTTTAAGCAACAAGTATTATCATGCCGTTTAACAGGATTTGAAAGGGATAGTAGTTAAAAGTCTTAAAGAGTGACAAGCAAAAATGTAAAAATACTATTTTTGTTGCCTTCAAATAAATTGTCATAAACTAATATTACTTAGGTTTAATTAAGTGCAAAAAAGAAAACAGTTCTTTTTACCTTCTTTTCGAATGTCCATTACAGAAAAGGCAACAGCTTTTATCAATTTTAATAAAATAAGTAATTAATTGGCGTTATCTGAAAACTGTTTATGTCAGCTTTATACCAGTATCTAGCCAAAATGTGACATTTGTAATAAAAAAAGCGCTACACTAGGCTTACTTTATTTTGTTATTTATTATGTATCGTTTACAGGGGAATATAAGAAAAGTATTAGCAACAGTTTCATGCAAACATTTTGAAATTAATATTTCTAAGTAATGACCTATCTGGCAACCACTGTGCTATGTACAGTGTGTAAATTCTGGCAATCAGATGAAAAAACGATACAACATATTCTATGGCCGTGCGATGCGATAGTCTTCTAAAT